TAGTTAAATCTTCTTAAAAAAATACAGGATGCCCGGGTTCGAGGAATCACGGGTTTCGGTAAAAAAAAATCGGGTCGGGCTCCAGTAGGACTCGGGCAAGGACACAAGAAATTCGGTCGGGCCTCGGGCTGATTTTTCCAGCCCGTTGCGATTCAGTAGCTGATATATAAACTTTCAGTGACGCTTGCAATCAAATACACAAACAATATTAATAATAATTATATTGCGTTGCCATTTGGGCATTATCACAATGAAATTTTCATTTTTAATTTTCTAAGAATGAGAGAGACAACGCAATATAAAAATTGTTTGTGTATTTGATTGCAAGCGTCACTGAAAGTTTATATCAGATCATTTTCAGATTTGATGAGCAGTATTGCGTCACAGTGAGAGCTTCCAAAGAAGTGTTTTTACTTTTCCGCACACATAGTGTAAGTTGAAAAGTATTGTAATAGGTCAAAATTATAGAAACTTTAGAAACATGTTTTCTACCTATTATTGGGGTCAGAGAACACCAATCTGGCGTTTTAAAACATGGTTTTTGTTAATCTGTACGTCGTACGTCGTACGCAAAATTTGTTAGCAAGATTGCGCTCATCGTAGAAACTTAATTCAAAATCTGACTTTACAGGATGATTGGGGGTCGCGAGAAATAGAAATCATTAGATTTTGAGCGACTTTGGTTGATGGAAAAAAATTCCATGCCTGATACCTATGAAAAAGAGTCCAATTTTCGTTCAAAAGTCATACTTAATGTAGACTTAAACATTCAAAAATATGTATTGGGGGGTTTTTTGGCACGAGAAAACCAAATCCGAGGTTGGTTTTGAGATACAATCAATTTTTGATAGAGTTTCCTTGAAAAAATCACAAAGAAATTGAATTTTTGTATGGGAGCCATGCCTGTATGCTACCGTAATGACTATAAATTTTCAATTTTTGGCTCAAAAACGAATATTTTGTATGGTACTCTTAACTTTGGTTGAAATTTCTCAAAACCCTCCGAATGTTATTTTTTTGTGAAAAAAATAACCTGTAGAAAGTTTCATGCTATTAGGGTAGCATACAGACATGGCTCCCATACAAAAATCCAAATTTTTTGTGACTTTAGTTATGAAAAGTGTTTCAAAAATAAGTTCTATGGCAAAATTAACGTCCGACATATTTTTTATGGCAAAATTAACGTCAGACATATTTTTATAGCGCTTTGTTAGAAAATAGAGTACTTTTAAATGTCATACAAATGAGTTCATCATGATAGTGTGAATTTTTTTTTGCGAGTACTTCTGCTATTAAATTAAAGAATATTTCGATGCCGAACATATAGCTTAATAAAATACGCATCTACCACCGTGCGGAAAAGTTCGTCTTACTCCTGTAAGACTCTTTATTTACTTATATCATTTGTTTTAACATTAAATTTAATTTTTCTGTTTGTAATCTACAAAATTTTTCATATTCTTTTATTGTATTCATATATTGATATTCATCACATTGGAAATCAAAAATATTTATATTAATCGATTTCTTGCAATGCACGCCAATTTTTTTTGCTTTCCGCCATACTTTTATAATTTGTTTTTACAATGAATTAGAGTTTTTTGTTTGCTCTCGATATTTTTTGCATTTCCAATTGTTTTTGTATAATTTTGAAACAAAAGGAAAAAATTTCTACGGTGAATTTGTAGTATGTATGGTTACCAAATCTATTCAAAACTAATTGCACTTATGTTTTAATTCAGTTTCTTCAATTGAATAAAGCCCTCAAAATATTATTGAAAAATTATAAAATCCAAGTATGTTGTAGTTGAAAAATCTTAAAAAGGTGGTCGGCCAAATCAGAGCTGGGCACTAACAGTCGGTCGCTCGTTCGTACATTGAAAAAATATGTTTTTGTGGTCGGTCGTTCGTTCGTTGAAATCATAAATGATCGGTCGGTCGGTCGTTCGTTAAAATTTAAATGTTCGTTGTGTTCGTTCGTATGTGCGATCGAACTACGAAAACATCCGGACGTTCGGTTGTTCGGCGCAAAAATCGTCAAGTCGAGTTTTAAATTCTCTGTTAAATATTTTGAAATTGTACAAAAAATAATAATAATTAAATAAATGAATTTTCAAATATTTTCTAATTCACATAAGCTTTTGTTCTTAATTTGAACAATAACAAAATTTATTACGAAGATTAGGAAATTCCGTTTATTTGAATATTTTTTTCTTTAAATTACAACTATAAATTATTTAACAAACATGATTTTAAAACTTTGCTTCGAACATCCGGACGTCCACACGTGTTCGGTGTTCGATCGCACATACGAACGAACATAACGAACATTTCAATTTCCACGAACGACCGATCGACCATTAATAACTTCAACGAACGAACGACCGATCACAAAAAAGGAAAAAAACGCACACGAACGACCGATCACAGTCGGACATTGATGCTCGTGCCCAGCTCTGGGCCAAATACACGCATTTTCGAATTTTGACCAATTTTGTAAAACGTTGGTTTTAAAAAATGTGCACATTGGCTCAAAATTGGGTGCTCTTTCGATCTATGATAAAAAAAATCGTTATTCACGATTTTTTTAACAAAATTACGATTTTCATCGATTTTTCTCCATTTTTAATAGTATGGTCATAAATGGATTGAACCATCTCCACTCTTCGCTGTATATACTCAAGGGGAGCTGAATGTCTTGCCAAAGAGCCAAAAATGACGTATTTTGGTTGAAAAACACCCCGTGTAACCCTATTCGAGGAATGCTCCAAAAATCGAAAACTTTCGAAAAAAAAAAATAATTTTGAACAAAAAAATTGGTTCGTTACGAATTTTCCCATCACAAATTTTAGTGAAAACTAATGCTGTAATTTGGTTGGTGTGAAAAAAGTCATAGTCATTTTTCTAAAAAACAACACATGCAGCGCCATCTAGCGATCATTTTCGGAAAAATTTCCAATCTGACGTCAGATCTGGATAGCTGAGGTTCGTAGCTTTCCAACGACTTATAGATTATTACCTCACCTTTCATAGGCACAGAAAATAGGCCATTCGATGAAAAACTGAAAAATCGCGTCCGAACATTTTTCGAATCCATACCTCAGGCACTTGCGCGACGAAATCGAAAAATTCGAAGAGACAGGTATTCTCTGTTTTCCTTCTACTTTCGAATAAAATCGGCCTCCGGCGATTTAAGAAATGTCTCGGAAAAAAATATTTTCTCCATATGAACGAATATTTAAATAGTAAATGAAAATTGATTCAAAATTGTATATACCCCACTGAAAATTACATTAACCCACCATAATTTAAGTAATTTGGGACCAAAATACCAAAAAGTCCCTACATATTTCCAAATGCCAAAGCAAAGCGTTGGACCAAAAAATTCGTCCAAGAGGAGCGCCGAGACAGGGAAAACCGTGAAATTTACCCAGTGATGCCGTCGCCAAAAGGGTCACAGTGGCTGGACTACATCAAGCACCGAGTCAAGATGATGAAGCATGGAATCTGCGCTTACTCGACTGCCAAGTACACTCGACTCGCCTTGGACAAACACATCAAAAGCAGTAGTGTTGTCGACAATTGGGTGGAAAAGGTTACCGATAAGCAATCGACATTGTTTCTTTTTGGTGCTGATGGTGAAGTACCACCTGACAGCCGAATAAGTATCAAAAAGCACGTGCGGTGTCCAGGGGTTCGTTTGACTTTGAGGTCAATAAAGAAACATCGAGATTGTGCCATAGAGCTGGTGGACGAATGGAGATCATCTCAAACAGACGCAAGATGTATGAAGCGATTCCAAAGCCAGCCCAAATCGGCCAGATTCAAGAAATGCCGGTGAATACCCGACGCCAGAACATTGCTGCCAATAAAAATTGTGTCAAAGTTTGCAACGCGCCATGAACGAAGCATTGGAAAAAAACGAGCCTTTATTGTCAAAAGTAAAAAGGTACTATAAAAACTGGCAATTAAACCTCGAATGCTCTGTGATTTGGCATCGTGACGTCGTGGCTGCTAAGAACATTCTGCTGAAAGGTAAGGCTAATTGACGATACAATTGCGATTGAATGATTGCTTAAGAAGATTCATTTGTTTGATTTTTCAGGACAATGGACATTGCTAGGACTTCCGATACCGGATGCGATCAAAGTCCGCGATGCTGTCGCTGAGGCCGCCGAAGTAGCCGCTGATGTCGCTGAAGCAGCTGCTGCTGCTGCCACTAACGTAGATAATGATGTAGAAATGTTCGAGTACGACCAGCAGCCAGCTGATCATGCTGTCTAATCAGCACAACGCAAACAAAAAACAAATGCAACATTAGTTATTAAGGCTATCCCGAACATGTGGGATAGTAGCGTAGCAGAAGGTCGACACCCCATTTGGTTGATGTTGACTGCGCAGGAGTACAAACGGAGTGTTTTTTCATTGTAAGTATCATTCGATTTTGAAAAGAGCTTTTTGCTTCGGGAAGTGTCAATATCAATCGATGCTTTACATTAATGCTACGATTTGAAACAGAATTTTATACTATTCAAATTGAAACATACCATTTTTTTATTTACAGATATGAGAAACACCCTATTGTACAGGGTGGGCCAGAATAAGTGTCGCTTTTATATATGCTCAAAAAACGTATTGTTTTTTACTAAAATTGAACAAAAACTTAATTGAAATTTAGAAGAGGGTCCAAAATTTTAGATTCATGTTTTGGTTTTGATTCTTCCTCCATTTGCACGGACCACCAAACGCAAACGTCGTAAAAACGATTTACACGCGGCGTGCACCATTTCGATGGGAATATCGTTCCAAATCTTAACGATTTTCTTTTTGAATGCATCCAATTTTGTAATTTTCTTAATCTTCAGGTCATTTAACTTCGATTGCATGTAGCCCCAAACAAAATAGTCCAACAGATTTAGGTCTGGAGACGATGGCGGCCACTCATCTTTGTTCAAAAAATCATGCACATTCTCTGTTAACCACTGTTGCACTTTGTTTGCTCAATGTGCCGGTGCCCCATCTTGCTGAAACACCCACGGTTCATCACCAAACACAGCTTCGGCATGTGGCAACAAGTTTTTGCGCAATATTTCTTTTTCATACACAGCTGCGTTAATTTTAACGCCTTTTTCAACGAAAACAAGGGGAAATTTGTGGCCGGCCGAAACGGCGGCCCAAACCATGACACTCGACACATTTTGAAGTCGTTCAACGAATTCTTCAGGAATGTCCTCAATTGACGCTGCATACACGCGATCATTTTGCGCATTGAGACTTGGCTGCAAAAGGAACAACTCTTCGTCTGAAAAAAACAATGTTTGAGGTTGCGCGCCGGCGTAGCAGTTCTTTACATTTTTGCTTTCTATCTTGCTTATTTTTGATTGTAAAGCCGTGTTTTCGGGTTTTTTTAAATGTTTTAACTCCCAAATTTTCTTTCAACACTCGTCGCATTGAAGATCGACTGATATTGTGCTCACGGACCAAGATTCTAGCGCTTCTTTTGTTATTTCGACGAATTTTGTCTCGTACCTTTTTGACCAGATCTTTTGTTCTTACGGATTTTTTTCTGCCCGGCTTTCGCTTCACATCGACTGTTCCATGTTCCTTGTATCGTTTTATGGTGCGCTGAATAAATCTCAAATTGATATTGTCGCTCTGAACCTTCCGAAAAATATCAACTTGTCGCAAACCTTTTTTGTGCAAATTCAAAACTAGTTGACGTTTCACATCCATTGCTATTGTAAAGTAAACAAGAACTGCGCAATATTGTGCATCGTCACAGTGGATTGCACAAACATGAATAAACATAACGGTGAACCAAAGGGTGATCGGAAAGCATTGTAGTTGAAATTACGTAGGTGCAAAAAAAAAGCGACACTCATTCTGGCCCACCCTGTACATTCGGAACGTTGCTTCATTACGTCAGTATAGGCTTGAAATGAAAAGGGAGGAATTTCTGCAGTTGATTATTGTAACAAAATTGATAGGCTCTGTGACAACTCACGGGTGATTTTGAGCTAGGGGGTCATTACA